GTTCAAGCTCACCAGCTGCTCCTTGGAAACCCTATACAGGGTCGCTATGGGTCGGAACCGACTCAACAGCACTTAACAACAACAATACACCCTAGCACTTAAGCAAGAAAAAGGAAGCCCTATGTCCACACACTTGCAATATATACAAAACCTGAATGCTGATGGTTCCAGCAGCTCTATTTGTAGCTGCCCCCTGCAGTGAGGTGCATGCATGCAGCAGTACTCAGACTTCAGAGGTCAGGAAACAGATCACCGGGTGTCAGGGTCTGGAACTGGTAGAGTTGATAATACAAAGGAGCAAAGGAACTTATGGGGGTGATAAAAGATCCACAGGGGAGACATGCAGGAGAAACCAGAACCTCGCTAGCTGTCAAGGAAGTGCATACCCACCAGTCCTCACAGTGACTGAACAGGGAATCACGGACAGGCGAAGAGACCATCCACAGCATGAAAGAGAAGCACTATGAGGAATGAGGGGGTGTGACCACAGACACAGAAGTCAGAAGACACCTTTTACTGTATCCTGAAAGAGACCTTAACAGATGAAGAACTATTTTTACGAAGAAAGACAAAAAGGCACCTCTGGAAGAGGGGGAAAGTCACAACACAGCGAGGATGGAAACAAAAGACACCCTAATAGTGCACGCCCCTCTAGTTTTTTATTATGGAGAAGACTAGAGGGCTCCCACTACCATCCTGGGTCTACATCTACAAAGCCCAGGTAAAGGAGTGACAAACTGGAAATCCCAGTGTCCATGTTAAATAAAAATATCAGAGAAGTTGACCTCGAAAATACAGATGAACTCTCCAATCTCAGTTCAAAGATGAGAAGAAGTTAAGACATTGACCGTTCAGTGCATACTAGAATTCTGCATGAAGCCACAGGAAACACCACTGCAAGACAGCACTGGGGTCGGTGAGGCCGCAGTCAGCACTCACAACCTGCAAACCTCTAAAAAAAACCATCTTCTCTTCAGAAATACAAACATGCTATCATATTAGTGGCTCTAGTCTTCAAAGGACTGATAGAAATAGGGTCAAGCTTCCTCTGAGGCAAAAAACTAGGACATAGAAACGGCCATCAATAAATACTTTGCTGTATTTGTTCCACTGTACTGTTTCCAAGGCAGTTGGACAACTATCCTTCAGCTCTCAGAACACTCACTCAGCCTCCCATTCACAGGTCACACAGGGTTAACTGACACAACCAAAGTCACAGTTAATAAAGAAATAGCTGAGAGGAAGTGCAAAGTTCTCTTTTCTCTCATTTCCTAGTACAATAAGGTGAATCTGAAAGACATAATATACTCAAGAACAAAACCCTGTACACCAATGTTCACTGTAGTGAAATTCACAATAGCCATCAAACACAACATGGTGCATACACATACAATGAACTATGTCTCAGCTATAAAGAGAAATAAGGCTCGGTTACATGCTGCAACATGAATGAACCTAGAAAATGTTTGCTAAGAGACTGAAGTAGAAACGGGACAACTATTTTGGAAAAGTCTGAGAGTTTCTTAAGGTATTTCCCCCAAGAGAAATGGTAACATGTGTCTACACTACAGGAAGAGTATGAATGAATGTACACAGCATTCATGCTCTCCATGACAGTAAAACCCTGGTGGTCACAACACAAATGTCACTGAGAGGTGGAAAGATGTAGATCATGGCACCACCACACAATGGACTATAACCCAGCACTGAAAAGGAAGGTACTCTTACACAAAACATGAACAAACAAAAGAAGCACAGAGATTCCCACCCAATGCTGTTGTTGTTGTTAGGTGCCACTGAGTCGGTACCAACTCATAGTGACCCTACGCACAACAGAATGAAACACTGCCTGGTCCTGGACCAACATCACAATCATTGCTACATTTGAGCCCACTGCTGCTGCCACTCCATTTGGGGGTCTTCCTCTTTTTCTCTGACCCTCCACTTTACCAAACATGACATCCTTCTCCAGGGACAGGTTCCCCTTCAACAATATGGCCAAAGTATGAGAAACACAGTCCGGACATCCTGGCTTCCAAGGAACATTCTGGCTGTACTTCTAACACAGATTTGTTTGTTCTTTTGACAGTCCATGGATCTTCTCTAACACAGTAACTCATACACATCAACTCTTCTACAGTCTTCCTGATTCACTGCCCAACTTTCGTATACGTATGAGGTTATTGAAAATACCAATGGCTTGGGTCAGATGCACTAGTCCTCAAACTGACATCTTTGCTATTCAACACTTTAAAGAGGCCATGTGCAAAAGATGTCCCAAATGCACTGGGGGGCAGACTTGTAGTATATACCCTTTGGCTAGTTGATGATGCATGGAGGGGACTGTAACCATGACAATGAAATGATATATGATAGAATGAATGTAAAACTAATGTTCTCCCATGTAAGCTATCACAAATTCACAATAAAACATTTTAAAAAAGAAAAAAGATGTGCCAAATGCAATATGTCATTTTATTTCTTGACTGCTGCTTCCATGAGTGTTGATGGTTGATCTGAGCAAAGTAAAGTCTTTAACAATTTCAATCTTTTCTCCATTTATATGGATGCTGTTTATTGGTTCAGTGGGAAGGATTTTTGTTTTCTTTATATTGAGGTGCAACCCACCCAATGCCAGCTATCAAATCAATTCCACCTCACTGCAGCCCTGTAGGACAGGGTTTCCAAGGCGGCCACTTGACAGAAGCAGGGTGCCACATTATTTCTTCCACACAGTGGCTGGTGGGTTTGAACCATGGACTTTCAAGGTCTTTAGCCACTGCACCCCCAGGGCTCCTTGAAAGATTGATTACATACTGTAGTTTCCATGTGAGCGAAATTCTAGAAAAGGCAAACTTTAACTTAGAGTGACAGACAGCAGATCAATAGTTGACAGGGAAGAAGACTGAGAGCAAAGGGACATAAATAAGGGAACTTTCTGGAGCATGGACATGTTCTACATCTTGACTGTGGTGGTAGTTACTCTCGTATGTATATCTGTCAAAACACAAAGTGTGCACTTAATATGGGTACCTTTATTGTATTCAATTATACCTCACTAAGGTTGACTAGGAGTCCTGGTGTGGCGCTGTGAGTTAATGAGCCAGACTGCAAAGCCATCTGAACTGCAAGGTCAGCGGTTCAAGCTCACCAGCTGCTTCTCAGAAACCCTACACAGGGTCGCTACGGGTCAGAATCGACTCAATGGCACTTAACAACAACAAGGACGACTTAAAAACATTGGAGCACAATCTATTTAAGGTGGACAAAGCAGCTGTGAGCCCTTGAAGATTAAGTAGCCTATTATTATTATCTTTCACGTTCCGTATGTACTCAGCATTTAAACATCCAGACACTGAGATTTCTAAAAAGATGCTGTGTTCTTTGTTCCAAAGACTCTCAATGGGGACACCTAAAAATACCTTTTTATTTTGCCACTTATCACTGTAAGGAGCCCTAGTGGCACAGTGGTTAAGCACTTGGCTGCTTAGCAAAAGGTCAAGTGGTTCAAACCCACCAGCCGCTCCAAGGGAAAATGATGAGGCTGTCTGATCCCATAAAGATCTATCATCTCAGAAACCACAGACAGGGTCACTATGAGTCCAAATCAACTTGTTGATGAAAGTGGGTGTCGTTTTTTTCTATAAGGAGCCCTGTTAAGTGCTGTCGACTCGGTTCCAATCCATAGCAACCCTGTATAGGGTTTCAGAGGAGCAGATGGTGAACTTGAACAACCAACCTTGCAGTTCAAACTGACTTTGCAGGTCAGCACATTAACCCACAGCGCCACCCCAGGTAGCAGATTAATAAAGCACTCAGCTGCTAACCAAACGGCCAACAGTCCAGACCCATAAGGAGAAAGCTGGGGCTCTTTGCCTCTGTAAGCCCTGCCAGTCAGTTCTGCTCTATCCTACAGGGCAGCTATGAGTCAGAAGGGGTAGGCTGCTTAGTTAGTGCACTAGTACTGTACTTGTGGCCTCCCCTCATCCGTCTTTAAGCCTTTGTCTCAAGGTAGCCCAATCATACCTGGCAGGCAGGCTCAGTCTTTACAATCATCTACCCCACAACCCCCCCACCCCTTGATTCAGAGGCCACCCTACATACACAATGACAAGTGGTGCCA